TTATATAAATTTACTCCGTATATATCACTGTGTCTCGGTTTGGAGGATTCTAAGAATGGTAAGATGTGTTTCCTATCCTCAAAGAGAGAAGAGTTACATGCTCAAGGGCTGTACTGGCCTGTTTGTTTTTTTTAACCTGTCTACCTGGCACGTTTGCCAAGCTCATCTTCTCTGTCTTCTTTCAACTTATTATTTTCGTGGTTTTTATTATTTGCCACCATCTAGTCGTCAAGACCAGGATCCTGGAGTTATTCTTATTTCCTTCACCTCTTCCATGTACTTCCATGTACAACAGAAATCAGTAAGTTCTGTTACTTCTACTAGTTATCTGTCTGCTGCCTACCTTTAATTCAAGTCCTCATCGTTGTTGTTTGGACTGTTACAGTGATCTATATTAGTTTTTCTGTTTCTAGTCTTTACCTTCTCCCAGTTGACCACTCTTTTGCTCCTGGAGAATTTGCCTGAATTAGAAAGCTGATCTTGTTCTTCCCTGCTTATGTTCTTTCATTGTTTCTCCATTACCTACTAGTGAACCTTGAAACTGCTTTGTGTGGTTTCTTTATCTCTTGGTAGTTCATTATCACTTACACTTTTATACAAGATTACTTATTCCTTGGGTGAATAATGTTATTTCACATGCGGTGATCTTTTCTCATGCTGTTTCCTTCCTTCTGGAATGCTTATCCTTTTTACCTATCTCCCTTTGTAAAAATCATATTTATCTTTTAAAACCACAGTTTGCTACCCCTTCCTCTGTGGGGTCCATTTTTAATCCCCTCCACACATATATGACTACTTTCTCCTATGTCCAATTATTGTACCTGTGTATCTGTTTTTCTGCTTATTACACTGAATTTCGGTCACTTATTTGCCTATCTATGCTTCCTGTAACAGTATGACATGAGGTTTGTGAGTCAGGGACTCCATCTTATTCTTTGTAGACCCAGTATGTAGCACAATGCCTGGTACCAATAGATATTCAGGACCTGTTTGACTGAAAGTAGGGATGCGGAGAGGATGCTCTGGGAATTAACACAGTGAGAGAAGGCTTCCTAAAGAAAGAATTCTAGTTGGGATTCAGAGTACAGGTTGGATTCAGGTGGGGAGAGGTCATCCGCTAGAGAAATGGCATAATATTCGTAGTATATTAAGTGGTAGAGTTTGATCCAAGTGGAAGACTCATGTTGGAGAGTACTGGGTAAGTACATTGGAAAATTAGGTTCAGCTTCCATTATGGTGGAGTTGAAGAGAAGTTGGGATCGAATTGGGATTTGTACTTTTTGAAAATTTTCCTCCCACTTCCCCTCACACTCAATTTGTGTGATGAATAATGTGGTTTAAGAAGAGCCTGGCTGTAGTATGCAGGGGAATTCTAATGAGAAGGTGATGAGTTCCATTTTAGGCATGTTGGAAGTGAGGTGGAGAAACTCACAAGCAATATAGGCAATGTGCTACTGGAGATGTGCTGCTGGGTCATGGGAGACTGGTAAGAGAAGAGGGCTTGAGGGAGAAATCTTGCTTAATTTCTCTATATTAGGAAATCAGAGAAGAATATACAAGAGGGAATCTTGAGGAAGAGGTAATTAATGTGTAAAAATTGGTCATGAAGAGAATGAACAATTAAGAAAAAGAAAATACCTCAATACTTTCTAATGTCTGCTTGTCTGCTTGGCACCTTCTCCCCCAACTCTAACATAGGAGGCAGAAATTGGTCAGCTGCTTCTTTGGCTCATGGTTATAAGGGTTGTCTTTGGAGGGACAGAATAAATGGTCCTGGTGAGATAGTTTAGCATGGTAGAAAAGAGCTCTGAAGGGCTTTTGTTGTTGTTTTTTTTTCATGGACTTAGGATCCCATTTTAATTTTAGCATATATTACATGTATTTATATACTTACATCTGTATTTACTCTTTCCCACTTCATTCCCACCCCATAACATATGGTTTGGATAGATGGTAATTTTCATTTGCATTCATAATGAGTAATATCTTAGTATTTCATTGTTCTACCTGTGATTCTTTGTTTCTGACTTGGCCACTTCTGCTTAGCAGATCTGCTCTGACTGCTCTTTTATGGACTGAAGCCTTGATAATTTTGACAGGACCCCAAGTTCTGTTAAAGCCTTAGAATACAACTTGCAGTGCTTTGATTTCTAGCAGAGGGTTTGCTGTCTTAATTTGCCTATTTGGCCGAAACTGCATTCCTTCAAATTGATGGGAACACCAGACAGCACCTGAAAAGAACAAATCATAGAAGACCTAAAATTACTTCAATAGGATACTTTCAGATTTGTATCATTTCAAGTTTAAATGACAGTACTGAAGTGTGGCTTCTCTTGATTGCTTTTGATATGCTGATAGTATTTTACTGATTATGAAGAAAAATCAATGACTTGGGATTTAATGGAATAAGACCACCTTATGAAAGCTTTTGGTTTTGTTATACTGAAGAAGATAGGCTTAAAGGACAAGTGATCACTGTAGTCCAGGGCTTGCTTTTTTAAATATGAAAACTCTAGGAAGTTCTTCCTTCCTTTGTGCCTTCCCAGAGACCTGGATCCCTTTTTGTGTGGTTTGCTTGAAAGTAGAAAAGAACTTATTACTTTTGAGAGAGATAGAAAGACTATGCTATCTAATTTAGGGGTCAAATGCTTGGAGGACAGGTATGTTTTATGTACATATGTAAATTAAATGTTTTTGGATATCCTCTCTATCTCAGTTTGTTACTGAAGCCATGTATATTTTATGTAAGTCAAATCAAAATATCAGTGAGTATTATGCATAGGAACAAGCTTGTCCATTGATTCAAATCTCTGGAATGTAGATTCTTTTCATTTTCTTGGCAGAAACTAGCTCACATAGTTCAAGTTTTTTCTCTGTCCTATTATAATTGCCTCATTTAACCAGTGCCTGGACTAACATCTTATACTTAATATTTATCTTGAATTTTTAAAAAGTATTTATTTATTTAGAGAGAAAACAAGCAGGGGAGAGGCAGAGAGAGAGAGAGAGAGAGAGAGAGGAAGACAGAGGATCTGAAGTGGGCTCCGCACTGATAGCAGAGAGCCCGATGTGGGGCTTGAACCCATGAAATATGAGTTCATGACCTGAGCTGAAGTCGGGCACTTAACTGACTGAGACACCCCAATGCCCCTTATCTTGAATTTCTTAATGTCATTCAGAATATTTGGAGACTTTTATTTTCTCCAGAACTATTTCTACCTGTCACTGTGGAAAAATGTCATATATTGATTCAGAAATGTATATTTTGAGAGGCCATTCTTCTTCTTCTTCTTCTTCTTCTTCTTCTTCTTCTTCTTCTTCTTCTTTTTGGCATTGGAATGTGAAATTTCTTTATTTTAAAAAAATTTTTTAATGTTTATTTATTTATTTTTATTTTTCCAGTTTTATTGAGGTATAAGTGACCTATAAGTTCTTAAGCTTTGTATCTTGGGATGATATCAAGTTTTATGAAAAAAACTGGAAGTTCCATTATGAACTTTTGGAACATGCTCAGTTAAACCAAATTAAAGAAGTTTCCTTAAAAAGGATTTCTCTTACTTTTTATTCTGTTAATGTGCATTGTGGCTCCAAGAAGGCTCCAAGACAGCAGTGTTTCCCATTTATTTGACAACAGAACCTTTTGTGGGGGAAATATTTTGTCATGCTTTGAGGGACTGTGGGTAGAGTAGGAAGATCTCTGACCCGGAATTTGGGAAATCACACGTTGAACTTCTGATTTACCACCAACTAGCCTTGTGACCTCAAACGGATCCTTTGCCTTCTAGACTCAGTTTCCTAAATAGTGACTAAGGTCATACAGCTCTAATACTGTATGGATTACTACTTGTGTTGTTGACTGCATCGTGACACTTTCCACCTCTTTGTATGTATTAAAACCACACCATCTGAATCTATTTTGTAAAGTTGAGGGGATTACGTTTCCTTTTTATGAAAGTTCAGAAGAAGAAACCCTTTAAAACTTTGTTTTCCACAGATAAAGGCCATGCAATCCTGAAGGATTAGTTAGTTCAAATTATTAAGATGTTTCATTCCCCTGATTACATTCTATTGGTCTCTTAATACCACAGACATTATAACCACTGTTCTTAAGAGTCTGCTAAGCTAAAAAGTTCTTGTCTTTCTTCCCTCAACCACAATGATTCCAGTATGGCATTTATCTCATAAGAGATACATATTTAGTCATTTGCACTAATCTCTTGGCTACTTATGTGAAAAAGGGTAGATTGTATTTTTGTGATTATTTACTGGGTATATTTGGAAAGTCTAATGATAATATTGATTATCTTTTTTCTTTCTGGGGAAAATGAATCAAGATGGGTAACATCAGGGTTAAAAATATATACATTGAGGGACACCTGAGTGGCTCAGTTGGTTAAGTGTTTCTTTGTTTCGACTCAGGTCATGATCTCACGGTTCATCAGTTCAAGCCCTTCATTGGGCTTTGCACTGCCAGCATGGGGTCTGCTTGGGATTCTCTCTCTCTGTCTGTCTCTGTTCCTACCCCATTTGCACTCCCTCTCTTTCTCTCTCAAAATAAATAAACTTAAAAAAAAATTTTTTTTGATGTTTTTATTTATTTTTGAGACACAGAGAGACAGAGCATGAGCAGGGGAGGGGCAGAGAGAGAGGGAGACAGAGAATCTGAAGCAGGCTCCAGGCTCTGAATTGTTGGCACAGAGCCCGACGCGGGGCTTGAACTCACCAGCTGTGAGATTGTGACCCAAGCTGAAGTCGGATGCCCAACTGACTGAGCCACCCAGGTGCCCCAATAAATAAACTTTTAAAAAATATTTTTAAAAATATATGTTAATATGTTTGATCTTATTTCTGGGACTAAAACTATGAATTAAGACATTTTGTTGTATTTTCCTTTAAGATACCAGTTTGTTCAATATTAGAAGTTCTTTGAATGCTTAATCAAATTTTGTTTCTTTTCTCTCTTTCTTTTTGTAATGTGTGCATATGTGTTTCTATCCTAGGCTCAGCAACAGAGAAACCTGGATAACATTGTCTTGCAACAACCCAGAATAGGTAGCAAGAGAAAATCTAAGAAAGATGCATACACAATTTTTGATACAGAGATAGAAAGCACTAGCCCCAAGTCTGAACAGGACTCAGGAATTCTGGATGTTGAAGATGAGGAAGATGATGAAGAGGTAACCAACATTTGAACTGGGGAAAGGGGACTAATTACTGGGTTTAAATGTAGTATATTTGAGATGTGATGAAGAATTTATCTATGTAATATAGCTTGTGTGATCTTCTGCATCACAATTATCCACAATTAAATTTAACCCACAATCAAATTATCATTTTAAATCCAGATGAGCCTCAACTTAAGGAAACTGAAGATGCACCATGATATCTTAGAATCTAATTTTTTAGATTTTGAATACAATCATCCACTTTTTTTTTTTTTTTTTTTAAGTTTCAAGGTTTTTGATTGTATACTGACTGGGCACTACATTAAGGAAAGAGTAGAGTTTATCTGACCTAGAGAAAGATCTAGATGACCTCCACTGAAACTGGAACATAGCTACTTGAGATAAAATATATTATTTTATTTATTTTTTTAATAGTTTATTTAATTTTGAGAGAGAAAGCATAAGCACGGGAGGGGAAGGGAGAGAGGGGGACCGATGATCTGAAGCAGACTGACAGCAGAGAGTCTGATGTGGAAGCTTGAACCCACAAACCATGAGATCATGACCTGAGCCAAAGTCGGATGCTCAACTGAGTCACCCAGGTGCCCCAAAAGATAGTGTTTTAAACAGTGTGTGCAAATAAAGGGATCTTAGACTGAAAATATAAAGAGGCTTGAGAAAGTTGACAATACATTTCTGGAGGAAATAAATAGGAGTGCTTATAGAGAATTTGGGAATTTTGTGACATATCTGTAACCTCTTAAATTAGTTCTGTGTCACTTTCAGGTAAAGAATAAGATAGAGTGGCTTCAGTAGTACATATATTTATGTCCTGATTTGTTGTTAGAAGTACATTCAGTGGGTTTTTAAAAATAAAACTACTGTGACGTTTGAGAAATCTTGTTAACCTGTTTTTCTAAATACCATTTGCATAAACTGGATCAGTTTCTTTGTGAATGTAGTGGTTAGGAGCATGAACTTGGGAGTCATACAGATTTTATTCAGATTCTGGCTTTGCCTTTTAATTCAATTTTATTTTTTAAAATTCTCATTAAAACTCATATCATTTACTTTTTAAATGTCCACTGACATGTGTGAGGAACCATTTATGCCTGCACTCTGTAACCTGTTTGCCTTCAAGTGCTTGTCTGCTTTTCATTGTTTCATGTCTCCTGATGAAATTGGGTTCACTGTCTTCCCCACCGGTGTTCTTTGTTCTGTCCTCCTGCCCTTCTTATTCTTTATTTTCCTCTCCTCCCCAAAACTATACCCCCAAACTTGTCACTGTCTAATTTTGTAATCTTAGATCATTGTTTAACCTGTTGGAACTTTAGTCTTCATCTATAAAGTAAAGACAGTAGTCTCTGCCCCGTAGAATTGCACAAGTGTCTGCTCCATAAAAGGTAGTCAGTAAATGTTAGTTCCTGTCCTGTTGTTACTCTTCTTTGCCGACTTCTGTTATGTTTCACTACCTCCATATTCTTCCTCGGGATATGTTTATTATGTAAATGAGGGACATTAGTAGGTAATAATGCGTGAAAGTTCCATCAAAATCCCTATTGTACGTGGATAAGAAATAGAGCGAAGAAAAGAATCAGGCGTTTGCCTATACCTGTAGAAATAAAACGGGGCAGAGAAACTTGATCCCCCTGAGTGTTTGGCATTGTCTCCTCTTGTCTGGAATGACTGATATGGTAGGATATGGGTCCATCCTGGAGAGCAGATTGTCAGGTATTAGGCCCATCACTGATGACAAGTTATAGTAGTACCACAATCAAGCATCAGAAGCAACAAAGACCAGCTAATGCCTTTTATTTACATTTTGGGTGCCTGTTAAGGAAATTATATTCTATCAGGCACTATGACCTAAGGAAATAGAAGTTAGACATAGTCTGTGCTTCTGCATAATACACGCCTCAAAGAGATGACTAGATGATAATATGAAAGAATAAAATAATGCATAGTGCTGACGTATAGTGAGAACCTTATGGATGTAAGCCATTCTTTATTATAAACTCACTGAAGATCCTGGGCAAATCCGTTTTAATTTTTGTGCTCTATTTCTTTGTTTTGTCTTCTGAGGTCCAGAGAAGATAAAGAAAGTGGGACTAGTGAAATGTGTTGAGGGTTCCTCATAAATGAAATATTATAAGAATGTACTTGGAAGTTAACATTTTAAAATGGTCATGTATCCCAAATCAAACAGAATCCTGTTAGACTTGCTGATTGAGCTCTTACAACAAGAATTCAGCACTTCGCTGTCATCTAATGGCATCCTATCTTAAAAAAAATCCTACCTTCTATTTATTTACTTCTCAGTTTGAATCTTCTTCAAGTGCACATTCTTAATCTCAAACCTCATGTAGAGAATTATTTATTTAGATGTCTCCAAACTGGTTTCTTGGCATAGTTCTTGCATGGTGTGAATAAATTCTTCAGATAAGGTCTTTCGTGACCCACTGTGACGTTCTGACCTTCATTCTTGTCATTCTTCAACAGACCTCATTGAGAGCAGCGTAAATAGTTTTTGAAATATTTTGACTTCTAAACTGTGGCATACAATCCTGTAGGGCAGTGATTCTTAATCTATTTGGGGTCATATATTCCTTTGAGAGATTGATAAAAAAATATATGGAGTATTTTCCCAGTGAAATATGCATATATTCACTCATGAAAGGTTCTGCTTGAAATTTCAGGGGATTCGTGAAACTCATGTTGCTCTTCAGGACCCCTGTTAGAACCCGTGTTATAGGTTAAGTGCTTCTTAAATTTTAATGTGCGTAGGAATCACTTTGGAGTCATAATAAAATGCAGATTTAGATTCTGCAGGTTGGGGGTGAAATCTGAGAATCTGCATTTTTCACAAGCTCCCAGGTAAGGATGATGCTTCTCTCTGCAGAGCACATTTTGAGTTGCAAGGCTACAGAGGACCTTGAGGAAACATTTTTAGTGCCTAAAGAAAACAAAACCCTTGAATGTTTAGATGTATTACTGAGTTTTCATTAAAATGTCTTAAATTTTTTCTAACAATGAATGCAGTACTTAAGAGAAAGTTACATTTGGTTTCTAAAATCTGTTGCTTACAGATTACCAGCATTATTTTTCGTGAAATTTTATGATTCTGATTTAATGTATTTAAGTCTAGGTATTATCCTCCTTCTTGTGCTTTGAACAAAAGTGTATTTAGTGCACTTTTAGTATTCTTTGAGTCAAATGACATTTGTAGGCTATTAACTATGTCTTTAGTGTGGTGATACTTAATGGGAGACCACAGAATGAGATGGGTAGAAAAACCCGAACACCTAGAAAGTGCTTTGAACTTAGGAAACAGATATTTAATTTATTGTTGAACTGAAGTAAAGTTTGTGCCAGAGGTAGAAAAACTGAATAGCCTGGGAAATGAAGATGAAGTCACAGCAGTAAATTGTCATATTGGATGAAAGACCAGCTCACATGGAGAACCAACTGACAGAGTCAGTCTCTCTCTCTTTTTTTTTAATCAATTGTTTTAAACATTTATTTTATTTATTTTTGATAGAGCTTGAGCTGGGAGGGGCAGAGAGAGAGGGAGACAGAGAATCAGGCTCCATGCTGTCAGCACAGAGCCTGATGTGGGGCTCAAACCCACAAAGCGTGAGATCATGACGTGAGCTGAAATCCAGTTGGATGCTTAACTGACTGAGCCACCGGCGCGCCCTGACAGAGTCAGTCTCTTGATTGCTGAGAAGATGTTGTAGGAAAAGTATTCTTCTGTAAAATTCTCTATTTGTATCTAAGCGAATGAAAGAGTCACCTTAATTAACGTAAGTTTTTTTAAACTTGTTGTATGTTAAAGTTGAACTATGCACTACTGATACTTGATCATTTTTGACCTACAACTTAATTAAATTGATTTTCAGTGGAAATATGTATGATTTGGCACATACATACATATGTATCATATGATACATAATGTATCTCCTCACAGTGCTTGGCACATACAATGCTACCATTATATATTAGTTAAGATGATGGCATTATGACTGTGTCTTTTTTGGGAAATAAAGGTGAAACACAAGTTGATACAGTTCTTGATAATGTAGATTTGCGTGGACTGATGGAACACTATCTACTGTAAACAAAACAATCTGCTTGAAATAAAGCAGTATTGAGTAAGAAATGATTTGGAGAAGCAGGGCCTATGATTCTTTTTTTTGTTTCTGGGTTACTTCAGAACTTCTGCATTTTTTTTTTTTTTTTTTTTGTTTATTTATTTTGAGAGAGAGAGAGAGAGTGCAAGTTAGGGAGGGGCAAAGAGAGAAGGAGAGAGAGAATCCCAAGCAGGCTCTACACTCAATGTGAAGCCCAACATGGGGCTAAATCCCATGAACTGTGACATCATGACCTGAGCTGAAACCAAGAGCTAGATGGATGGTCAACTGACTGAGCCACCCAGGTTCCCCAAAGACCTTTTGCATTTTTCCTTCTTTTTTCTTTTTTCTTTTTTTTTTGAGAGAGAGAGAGCAAGCCAGAGCATGAGCAGGGGAGGGGAAGAGAGAGAGGGAGACACAGAATCTGAAGCAGGCTCCAGGCTCTGAGCTGTCAGCAAAGAGCCTGATGTGGGGCTCAAACCCACGAACTGCGAGATCATGACCTGAAGTCAGACGCTTAACCGACTGAGCCACCCAGGCGCCCCAGAGCTTCTGCATTCTTAAAGCATTCCCTGGTACCATACTTCTGGCACATCTCATATTCTAGTTTGTGTCTCTCTTAGTTATTTTTGTTGTTAGAGAACAGTAGTCATTACTTTATCCATTCAACTGTTCATAGAGTATGGGTCAGATAAATGTTTGTTGACCAAATCCATGTCAGGTTTTCTCTCTCAAGATTTTGGTGTCTGTTTTGAAATATGAAGTTAACAGAATGGGATTGCTAATTTAAATACAAGTATCATGTAAAATATAAATAATGTCTGCTGAGATGTCTTTATGATTGTGGTACTGTACTAATTTTGAGGTAACAAGATTATTTGT